ACCTTATGAAAGTTGAAAAAGTCTTAGACTCTACATATAACATGATTGGTGGTCTTGATCGGTGTTAAATGGGTTCTATCAATGTTTTTTTCCCATGCACATTGTTCCTTTCTCTTGAAAATGGAAATAAGAATCACAATCTCTTTGTTTTACATATTTTCACCGTTCATTGAAATAGAACTTTTTGAATGCTAATTTTGTAGCCACTTCAGTATATCTTTTAACATATTTTTGAAGTTCACTTTAGCCGGTTCGTTATATTTTACAGCTTTCCAAAGATCAGAATAGGACAAGACTATTATTTGCATAATTACATTATAATTCACGTGCCTTGTCCACAACCCTGATTGGAAAGTTGTAACTTGAACCTTCGATGCAACCATCGATGCAATAAAGATTTGTATGGAACCATCGATGCAATAAAGATTAATGATTAAAAAAAAGTTCATAATATTAAACAAATCTTTTCAAAGAAAAGTTGTGGGTTCAATAAGTTTAACAATGTCCAAAAAAGAATCACTTAAATCATAACCAGGAAAATTATTCCTCGAATATATTCAATAATTTTCGCTCGTAATTCATCTTCTTGCTTGATCGCCTCGAACCGCTAGTTTTCTATAAGAGTAACGGGGAAAAGGAGGGGTGAAATAATATTCAATAAGTGCACCGTAAATTTGCAAATCATGTTAAAATTTTGAAGATGAATCATATCATATCATCCATAAGGGGAACAAAAGAAATATACTGAATTTAGGTGATGGAGTTTACTAAACTCCCGTTTTCTTATCACAAGTGTACTTTTGTAGGACCATAAATTTTATTCTAAAAACATACTAACACTGTAGATAAAATTTCATCACACTTACCTGCTTGGAACTAAGAAGATGCGTTAAAACTCCTTGAAACAATTCAACTTTTTCCCTGCTCTGACCTATCAAAAGTACTTTATTGGGTATTGGGTGTACTTGTGCACACGCGTGAGATAATGTAAGAAAAAGGAAAAAGTAAGAGAACGGGAGAGAAGTGAGAAGTAGATGTGTATTGAGTGGGTGTCGTGTGTAGTATGTATTGATACTGATATGTTTGGGTTTGGTCTTGCTTATGGTAACGGTTGATTTAATTGTGTTGCTAATTCCATGCTTATAAAATATATGAATTTGTACTCATGAAATCATGCCCTTGTTTTGTTTAGCTAAAAAAGTTAATAAAAGCATACGTCAAAGTCAATAATTATTTTTAATCACATATTTAATGGGATCTACAACTTTTATCGATTTTCAACAACACATTTCATCTACTTTTATCAATATTTACTAAAAATCTGTTTTTTAGCAAAACCAAACAAGGGCCGTATATATGATTTAACATGTGTGTCTAATATTTAATATATCATTTCCTTGTGAATGACAACAAATATAATAATTTTCCATGTTCTTTAAAATAAATATGATTGGAAT